AAAAATCCCTTAAATTCAAAATTTCAGATCTGGAAATCCACATGCCTCAAGTCTCTAAATATCAGTAAAAATAAGCCTCCGGCTTAAAAACCATTTACTAAAGCTATATTCATATAAGACTGAGTCAATGTTATTTAGTAGGAGGAAATTCCATGAGAAAACTAATATCCTCAATAGCATTCCTTCCTTCCTAAGACTCTTAGACTGTTGAAATAATGTGCAGTTTGTGGTTCTCTTTGCTACAGAATATGTAAACAGCTGAGGAAGAAGATGAATCTTCTTGCATCTGCAATACGCTGTAAAACTCAGGCATATTTCTGAAACAAACATTTATATGTTCCGAATAAATCTTTCATAACATATATTCTGCTGAATAAGAAAAAAGTTACCAAGCACTCTTCAGAAGAACATTAAAATCTTTAAAATACAAAATAGGTAATCACAAACACACTACCTACAGCCAACACTCTGCAGCTCTAAGTCCTTTCTCAGATTTGCATCTACACATCCAAAGCCTCCCACTAGCTTTCTCTTCTATTCTTCAATATTATAGTAGGACAGATATGAACCCCCCAGACTTCAAAGCCTTAAACATTTAAAAGGAAACACAGATAATATTCTCCCATTATATTTCAATAAACATCTTCAACCTGTTGGTTCAAGCTTTCTACTTAGGCTTCTTGGAAAAAGCCAAAACTGGCAATTGATTTGAGCTGGAAGAATGACAGTCTTACAGAGCTGGATGTATACTACGCAAGCAAATGATGCATGCTTGACCCATGGATTTAAGCATAAGTCAAGATATATACAGAGCTCACATCTTCAGCTTAGCTTTCTCACACCTACATAGCAGCAATACAGCTAAGAGCAATCAAGCTGCCTTACTGTTTGTTTAGGTTGAGACGGATGTGTGAGATCTCAAGCCTTGCTTCACTGTTTAAAGAACTTGAGAATTATGCAGACATCGCGATAGGAGCGATTCATGAATATGTTTGTATTTCAGCTAAAATATAGCAACATGCTTCAAAAAGTCTCTCTCCACAAAACAAGCTAAAAACAAAAACCCTCAAACAGCAGAAGCTGAGGAACAAAGACATTTCAAGATATGACACTGCTAGAGTGAAAGACTGCGCAACTTAAGTCCGGAATTATGACCTACACTAAGGAGTGCCTTGGCACTTCTTTGGTTTGCAACGTAGAAAATTTGAACTAGAATTATTTTAAAAAGCGAATTACCAATCCAAAGTTAGTGAAACAATTTTCAGTGGGAAAAAAAAACAACAACAAACCAAAACCAACAATCAACAATAGATGCTTCAGAGCATCTGATAGCGTGAAGTCCATAAACGACAAAGCACACTTAAAGAACAAGGGACTCTATCAGAAACCTCCATAGTGTCTCTCTGTCATAAGTGTGATATGAGTAGTACCTAACCAGGGACATGGGGTAAGACTGTTCCCCTCTTTCTGTCTTCCCTTTGAATCTAAAACACTCTGTAATAATACCATATTCATTATTTGAGCCATCTGTTACAGAAATCTTTTTGAGCTTTATTAACTAATGAAATGAAATGTTTTCAGCTGACTGGTCTATAGGAAAGAGAACATATCTTAAATTCATGTTGGCTTTTTTTTTTTTCCTGAGAAAAGATGAGGAAATTCCTTAAAGAGATCAGTGAAAAGTCAGTGTTGGCTCAAAATACATCTGCCACTGTGCACTGCAAATCATATTTGACAGGATAAATTATACTGATTACATCAGTACAATCTTCTTTGGTACCTCACAAACTATAGGTACACTTGGTACAACTATGGGACAAGCAAATTATATTCATAGCCAAATATAATCCTTATTGCTATCTATGAAATACCAGCACCAGGTAAGCATCAAGAAGAGATTAAAAATACCCTGAACTCCAAAAACATTATATATTTCTAGAATATCTATAGAAAACAAAAAGCACAAAAAGCTCAAACAGTAACAGCATCTGTACAGGCTGGTCTGTTCCAGAAAACTGAAGACACTCTTAACGAGTTAAAACTCTGTATCATCATTCCACAACAATAGTAAATGACAGCTAGATCCCACCTATTATATTATCTGAATTTATTGTAAACTATGCTAAACTAAGTTCATGGTAACTGAACAACAGAAAGCAGCAAAAATAAAAATCACTGTTATAGCAAACAAAGAACTCTGCAGCATCCCAAGACTCTAAAAACATCAGAAAGAAGAGGCAAGAATTATTCCCTTCCCAGCAAATATACCAAAGTATAAAAGTCATGCGTGACAAGATATACCAGTTCCCAAATCCAGAAAGAATAAGCATTTTAAGAAACCACTCTTTAATTATACTGACTTTACTTTTAGATTGTTTAAAATAAAGCAACAGATATTTTTCAAGTCACTAAACTCTTTGTAGAGCAAGCAGATATCTGATAGAAGTAATTTAGACACTGTAAGATATCACGCTCTATGCGCAGAACTTTGTTGACCTCTGCCAAAAAGCTTACATGACAAGTCAAGGTTGATTACTTGCACCAACTGTACCTCTGCAGAGTAAACAAAGCAGATAAATCATTACTCTGATCTTTCCAGACCACAAATCTGTCTATGAGTATAACTTGTTCAGGTAAACTTGATAAATAAATACAGTGGAAAGAGTAAAATACAGTCTAGAACTTTACACAATGTAAATCACAGTAATCCCACAGATGTCTATGCTAATTCAAAATCTTAAAATGAGAGCAATTCCAAAACATTTTAACTCTGTCTCCCAATATATGTTCTACACCTATAATGCTGTAAAGCAATGGAAAATGCAACAGTGATAGTGGAGTAGCAAAGTCATAGGCTACGGTGAGGATAATCTCAAACGCAGCAGCTGTAGACACAGAAACAAAGGAAAAAATCTGCTTACCCCTGAAAGGCCTCAGGTAGATAGGGAGCTCCAGCAACACACCCTTGCCACTGCCAACCCTTGATGAGGACTGAGGCTTCCAGTCACTCCAGTGCATTGCATACACCTGAGCTCCCCTGGGTTGGCCCTACCTTTCCACCAGGTGCTCAATCACTGTTTCAAGCCATGACTTAGCTTTTCCACTACAGTACCTTATGCCCTATTATTCCTTCCTTCCTTATTCCTTACCTCCTTTACAGAAAATCTTGACACTGTGTCCAGCTACCTTTTAATTTTCACATCAGTATAGCTCCAGTTACCTTACCTGGCACATACTACTCAGAGTACAGTGGTCCTCTTTCATGTTATCTGAGTAACAACATACGGACAATCATCTCTATAGAATTTTTTACTGGTTTATTATTAACAGAGTAATTTGGCAGCAATTGTTTTCTGTTTTTCATTGTTATGTTTTGTTTTGCTTGTTTTATTTTTTAGTTAATTAGCAGTCTGATCCTATGTTTGACTATGGCTTACACATCAATGACTACGTCTAAAACGACTGTTAATTCTATAGTGATATTCCACCCCACTGATATCAGGATCAAAAAGTATTAAGAGAGTGCTAAAGGAAAAGCTACTGTTATCAGAGACTATTTCACACAAATCTTTATGCAAACTTATTTCATGACCTAAACTGGGCAAGTGCCTATTCCTTTCTTACCATCTTCTCATGTCCCTATACCTCACCTGCACTACAGTATTCAGCTCCTTCCCTACTCTTTACTGTTTTTCTAACTTCTTTACTGGAGTGGTCTCCTTGGTCCAATTTCTGACATGGAGTATGTGAGCAGCAAAGACATGAATAATTTTGTTATGGGGAGAATTAAATATACATAGCATGACTATCGATTTTTTATTATCTTCCTTCTTATTATAATAACCACTTCCCATGCCTAACAACTGTTAGGCTAAGTGGTTTTGTGGCTCATATTTTTTGTTTCTTAAGTGACCATCTATCCTGTTACATTCCACATTCATTTTCTCAGAAAATTTCAATGTTTCCCCAATTCCGAAAACAAAGCTGGAAAAAAAAAAAAAAAAAAATTGCAGTCCTTTACCAGCTACTTTAATTTCCTGATCATTTTATAATGCACAAATTAATACTGAGTGTCTTAACTTATATTTTGAAGGCTTCCCTGAGGCTACATTCAAACAGGATCTCCGTAAGACACAAAGCCTTCAAGTATATACTGAGGCTCTTAGCATGGGATCCTGCATGCCTGTGGTACTCAGCAGCTCACTGTGCTACCAAGCACACTTGATAGATTTCAAAGTTCTGCTAGTGAAAGGAAAGGCATACAGAAAGCACAGTGCTGATGTGTACTTCCATGCCCAACTGTTGCACAGGTACAGTATACCCATCCATTTCAGAAATGAATAATGAAAGATTACAAAGAAAAGTAAATAGTTTATCAGGAGTACTATTACCATTTTTTAATAATACTTTTCACAGCTACACATTAAAGTTATGTTCTTGCAACCGTCATAAGCTGTCTCCTATACAAGCCAATCACATAAAATGATTTTACTAGTTTCAGGATTTTTGCCTCATAATGACAGACCTAATGTGGATATTACTATTAGCATTATGGGTGTGAGACAAGCTGATAAAAAAGCGCTGTTGTAATATAGCCTGCTCATTAAGTGAGAGGAAGCTGTGCCCTGGAAAATGCATCAGTATTCTGTAGTGAATGCTTAATCATCTGGATGCTTCACAATACTCATGATTGCTAACAGGGAAATGCTTAACGTTTGGGAAACTACAGAAGAAGAAAGCAAGTCCTTTGGTGAAAGGTGCAATCAGACTCCTGTGCGCTGACACTAATCAATGAACCATCCTTGTTTTGAGGATAAATGGACAAAACATATGGAGGACAAAGCACCTACCAAAGATTAATATCCATATTATACAGAATTCAAGTCTCCTGAGACCCAATATAGTAGCACTTAAGCTCCACCAGATATTTTACTAATGCTTTCCTACTGAAATAAGGCTTGGAACAAAAGTTTACCAATCATCAGGAAGATAAATCTCACCTGTATGAGATAATGAGAACATAAACTGAGAAGCTCCAGTAGCTGCAAATGACTCCCAGCTGCTAACACATCCTGTATCACCCCTGGCTCCAAAAGGATCTGTAAAAAAGAAAACAGAGAGTTTGTTATGTAGACATTTTTTGATAACTCAGACATTTTAGTCTACATAAAGAACAGAAAGAGTAAAACAAAAGCACACAGAGAAATCTTTGCAGGACAGGAACAGAGGTTTTGGAGTTCAACTGAGTTACCCAAGGATTTGTAAGCAGATTTTCCTATAAGAGTTCATAAACCATACCACCCTCAAATCCTTTAAAATGAAATCTTGCTATTTATATAAAAGGAGACTTTTCAAAATAACAGAACATATTTTAGTTGTATCCATACATGCTATATCTGGTTGTTTCCATATATACTGATAAATCAGACCAATAGAACTGCCTGAGAAATCTCCAGAATCGATATTATTTATTAATGTAAAAACATGCAGACTGGAAACACCCCTCCCATTCTGCATGGTACGCTACTTCATAGTTTTCCTAGCCTCTCTCTTCATTTTACAGGACGAGGCTGTGAAAGCACAGAGTGAGCATGCTGCTGGGAAAGTGCCAGAAAGGGCTTAGAAACCAAGACTGATTATCCTGTCACTTCCTCAGATGAAACTCCTACTCATTTCAATTAAAATCACGCACAGGCAGCAGCCAGGATAATTGGACCTCAGTTCCTAGCCTGCTGTCTTGAGGTCAGCTTGTTAGAGCATCCCTCTCAGGACACAAAAAGTCTTTGAAAACACAGACACCGGTCAATCCCTTTTAACAGCATCCACATTACAAACCATCTAAACCAGTAAAATAAAGATAAGTGATGTTTCATCCAACAAAAACCACAAAAGAATGAGAAATATTATTTCTTCAAAGATATCTCATTTATTCCATTTCATGCTTGTTTTATTTCCCCTGATAACTTTGGTTTTACACCACATGAGGTCAGTCTCTCACTGCTCCAGTGGGAAGTAAAGCTTTTTCAGATCCTTTTTCTTCTGCCCCTACAATTTAGTTTTGACACACAGTATCACTTAAGCATCTCAAAAGCAGTGGAGTATGGAGGATAGCATACAAAAGGTAAGATAACCATCTGCAATTTTGCAGTTAAATCGCTTTTGAGGGAAATTAAGAAATATGTATGCATTTCTTCAAACAAAATAACTCAAGTGACCTCCAACATAATGGATATTTTAGGAAAAAGAAAGAAAAGGATTGATACTTATTTATATCAAGAACTTTCTTAAATTTAGAACAGGTGGTGTATGACATGTTTAAGTTTGTGCAAATCCCTATATATTTATACAAATTTTTAGGTGAACATGCATGTAATTTGCATGCAGTAAAATGGTTTATTTGTGTAGCCAAACAGATATGTAAAGATGTTGATATAAATGAGAATTAAGTCCAGAAAAATGCAGGGTTTTGGCTGATGCTAATTAAGTAGTGATGCATAAGAGGCAGTTCAAGGAAAAGACAAAAAGGGTATCAGTTTCAAAACAAAAATATCACCAACAGGTACAGTTAAAAAATTGTGCAGCACCACAAATTATTTTCAAGTGAGAACTCAAGGTCAGACTGACAAAAAATCTGTTCAGATCTTGCAACATCTTATTCAGACAGCATTTACACTGAGCAACCTCTGTCATCTGAACTGACACTGTTTTGCTTATTAAATGCCAGCCACCAGCTTAGAAGTGTTAAAGATGAAATACAGGAGAAACGGAACACTAAACAGATTACTGTCTTGTAGGCACAGACAAACTATAGTTAACTGCAATACCATGAATGTATATTAAAGCTACATAAGTCCATTTACAAATAATACTTGTAACTTTATGAGATGAGAAATGAGATGAGAGGAAAGAAAGATAAATCCTTACTTCTTAGAGGTGATCTGCACAAAATCATCAACAAAGTTAATTTCAAGGTGGCAGAACATATTTTTTTTTCAGTTTTCACACATTTCCTACATCGTACAAGATGTATTCCACTGAGATAACACATTCAACATATTTTCCAAGAAAAATGAGGAAAGCCTATTCAGTCTCTTCCCAAATTTCACCTTGAACAGAACTATCTGAATTTTTATTAAATACTCATTTGAATATTGACAACTATACCAATTCACCATCAGCAAATTGATGCTGGGGACACCCATAAGAAAAGAAAAACAGTAATTAAGAAGGAAAAAAATATATTACAAGCCCTCCTTCTATTGAAACCAGGGCAATCCACAATTATTCCACACCTCAATTTTTATTAATACAGTTACTAGATTTCTTTTAATCTCCAGTATAGCTGCTTATTGTATCCTCTATATGCTCTTCAGCTGAATCTCAACAGCAGATGAACATAAATACCCCCACTAGTACAATACAAGAACACACTGACCAACTCTCCTTTCTTCATCTAACTCAAAGCAATAGCTCTGAGGTCTTCGGAGTGACACTAATTAAAAATCAACAAGAGGGAAACTAAGATCTGCTTTGGATTCACAGTTTCAAAATTGATCACAAATTGTTTCTGTGGAAACTAAAGAGTGAAGCTTAGTCACTTTCCCTGTTTCATACTCAACCCAACAGTTATGAGGTATAATTACCAGGGCAGAAACTCAGGAGTAATTACAACCATCAACTCCAGACAAATTTTGCTAACATCATCACTAAGACATGTGCCTTTGTATGACAAATGCCATCATAAGACTGGTTTCTGTGCTATTTTTATATTAATTAGATGTAATTCATGTATTGCACCTGGCAAAGTTCTTTGGGCTCTCAACTTTTCCCTGGCCTATGTTGTTACCCAAGAAAAGGAGCGTAATCACCTTCTACCTGTATACTACAGGCAGATCTTGCAGACAGCCTTGGCAGCTTAGTTTTTCAAGCCCCTGGTATGACATATTGCTTATATTCAAATTGATCTGATGTAAAAATATGGTGTTTCTTTGCAACAGAATGTTCACAGCATCCGGATTACACAATTCTTAGACCCATGATTTTTAGAGATAGAATAAAAATCCACATGGAAGTGCATCTGTTCATGCTCGGTTGATATACTGAGGAAAACTGCTCTTTAAATGTAGGTATTACAAACTTTTGTAAATTAAACAGACCTTCTGAAGCACAGTTCTGAGGCAGAACATGTTAATTTTAATCAGGTTCACAGTCACAAAAACTATGGTCATGTAGCCATGAGCAACTCCATTTTCATCTTCCTCTGGGAAGTAGTGCTCAACTTAATTCATTCCTTCTTCCCCCATGACATTCCTCTTTTCTTCCCAACTCATCTTGCCTAGCCCAGTACATCTTAGGGCTCCAGGCAACTATGGAGAAGATTAATCAGGATCACACATCTTGCCTCTCTCTTCAATATTTTCATTAGGACAATTCCTGGTAACACAAAGCAACTAGTGGCTATGATTTCTTGGGCTAGGAGCAGTATTAGAACCACTGTCCTTTTTCAAGGACAATGCTGGGACAAACAGTCATACCCCATTTCCATGCAGCTCAAACTAAGACCCTTCTTTTATTCTCTTAATACTTGCATTTATTTATTTATTTATTTTAAATAACCAACCATTCAGCATAAGCCTACCAAAAAAATTGCATGGTTATAGCAAAGACAGAAGCAAGAGGTGGAAAGCAGTGATGAAGAAGCCCCTTTAAGTTGTCCTTCCCAACAAATAAAACTTACAGCCTAAGAAGGCAATCTCCTGGTTCACTGTCAAATCCTATGGAGTCTCAAGGGATATTTATCTGGAAAAAATAACTAGGTCATTCAATCTATTCCCCATTTACTGCTGGCTATTAAGCTATAACAGTAAGGAAATACATGATGTCATATCAGAAAGTAGTAAACCATATGGAATATACCACATAAAATGGAAAAAAAAAGTCCTTAAATTCCTGACAGCCTAATGCAAGAGAAAATTCCTTCTTGACTCCACTTGCAATGATCAGCATTTCAAACAAGACAGGCATCAAACAAAAGCACCACTTGTTTCTCCCCTCTGGAGACTATTCTTTGAGCATCAGAGCAATCAAAGAAGTAACTTTTCTTTTAGAGCACTTCAGAGTGCATTTTACTCACAACCAGTTAGCACTTCTGCCTGTCTCAGAGCTCACTGGTGTTTCACTTCAATTCTGTATTTCCTACACGTTGAGAAGGGCTGCTTCAAAATAATGTGAGCAGGGCAAGAGTGCTCCAGTGCCCTGCAGGCAACTGCCCAAAGCATGGGCACATAATGTTTGATAACTTATTGCAAAACCCAGATGTCTCATTAGTCAATGCCAGAAGGAATCATGACCAGCATTTCTCTGATACTTACCAGAAAACTCAATTTGTTCAGAAAACTCAAAGAAAGTCTATGTTAAATGCACAGCATATAAACTAAGACTCCAAGCAAATTCACTTTTTCTTTGGTAGATGTCTCAGTACTTTCTCAGTACTTACTCAGTACTATTACTTTCAACTCTAGAAAAGCTATCTTATTCATAACTTGGTAACTTATCCAGAACAAACAACGTGAAACATTAAACCTTAACTATAAAAAATAAGTTAAGTGAATGAGTTCCATTTTATTCTAAGCCTTCTAGGGTTTAATTTCGGGTGGTGCTTTGTAGAGCAAGGAGTTGGTCTTGATGATCCTTGTGGGTCCCTTCCAACTTAGGATATTTTATGATTCTAGGCAGAGAAACAATATTATCTTCCTGTTAGCTCAAATTTATACTTTTTAACTTTGAAACCACATTGAAAATGATGATAAAATAAATATTTTCAATAAGATATACTCCAATAGGAATAGATACATTTTTCCAAGACCTTTGCATGTTGCCCCTTGGAGAAAAGAACAAGGATATTTGAAGTCATCAGGCAGTGTAGTTAAAATCTGTCTTTTTGTGAAAAGGCAACCAGTTGAACTGCCAGACACAGGAACTGGGAGGTCACTTACACAAGAAAATCAACCACCATGATACTGCTTTGCAATACACCTCACCCACAAATGGGCTAGAATAGATTTAACAGAGTAGGAGGTACTAAGAAAGCTGCTCCCCC